CTATGGGGGTGGTGAAGGAAATGGGAACAATCTGGTATGAAATACATGTACTTGAACTTTGTAAATAAACTAGCATAAAATAACTAAAAAAGATAAGGAAAGGCAATAAAAAAAATCTTTAAAGTGACAGATAGGCAAGAGGCCAGTATAAAGAATAAGATCCATCTGACTTAAACTATGGTGTTTTCAGTTACTTCATATGCTTGTGAAAGTAGGATGATGAATAAGTAGAACTGATACCTTTGAATTGGTGTGGGTGAGGAATATTGACACAGGCTGCCAAAAGAACAAATAAACTTGTTTTAGAAATACAGCCAGGGTGCTCCTAAGAGGTAAGCGTGCTGAGACTTTTTATCACATACTTCGGGCATATTTTTTTCCAAAAGAACCAGTCATTGAAAACAGACATCATGATTGGAAAGATGGAGAGTCAATAAAGGAGAGGACCTTCAATGAGATGGACAGACACAAAGACTGCAACAATGAACTTAAGCATGACAGAGATTGTGCTTAATCATTTCAAGAGATAGTGTGTGCTCAAAAATGAATGGTACTGAAGGAAGAAGTCTAAGGCATTTATTAAAACAAACCTACATGGCTCCAGGAATTGATGGAATGCCAATTGAGATATTAAAAAAAAAATAGATGTAGAGTTGGAGGTGCACACTTTTCTATGGCAAGACATTAGGAAGATAGCTACTTGGTCAGTCAACTGTAAGAGATTCATATTTGTACCCATTCAAAAAAATGATGATCCCAATAGAATGTGGAATTATAGAGCATTATCATATACAAATGCTCCTTAGAGGCAAAAATGGTGAAGTTTTGTCTCACATACTTTGGGCATGTTATTAGAAGAACAACATGATAGAAGATGGAAGGTCAGAAGAAGAGAGAAGACTCTCACCAAGATGGATTAACATAGTGACTGCAACAAGTATGTCAGAGATGATGAAGATGGTTTGGGATAGGACAGGGTTCAGCTCTGTTGTTTACAGAGTCACTATGAGTCGTATTCAACTCAACAGCATATAATAAGAACATGGGCAATTGATCTTTGACAAAGAGATGAAATCCATTAAGGGGGGGGGGAGATAGCCTCTTTAACAAAAGGTGCTGGCAAAACTAGATACCTGTATAGAAAATTAAAAAAAAGACTCTTATCTCACAGCATATTAAAAAACCCCAAACATTAACTCAGACTGGATTAAGGAACTTGGCATAAAACCTAAAACTATAGAGATCATCAAGAAAAAGTTAGGGCAAACTTTGGAGGGCTACGTTATGGCAAAAATATCAAGTATAATTGAAAAGAAACAATCAATGATAAGCTAGAGATTAGAACCTCCTGAAATGAAATCTTTATGCATATCAAAAGACTTCTGCAAGACTCAAAAAGGAGCCCACAGATTGCACAAAGCAGTACAACTTTTAAGGTACTATGCCACCAGAATTCTGCCATTAGCTATTGACAATGAGACAGAACATCTTACCACAGCAAAAATAGCAATATTCAGTAAGACATCAAACAACAAATGCTGGTGAGGCTGTAGAGAGATTGACAGCCTCATATAGTGCTAGTGGGAATATAAAATGGTACAAATACAATGGATATCTGTTGGATGCTTCCTTAGAGAGTTTAGAGTAGAAATACTATTCCCACTACAAAGTAATCTCCCAAAGAAATAAGAGCAGCAACACAAACTAACATACTCACACCTACGTTTATTGCAGCATTATTTACAAAAATAGAGGTGGAAACAATCCAAGAGTCCATCAACAGAAGACTGGCTAAAGAAACTGTGGTATATTCCTACAATGGCAAATTATGCATCACTAAAAAAGATCAAGAATTTGTGAAATACTATACAACAGGGATGAATCTAGAACAAATTATGCTAATTAAAATACAATTGATATAATTGCATGGTTGTGATATAACAATTACAGTTACAAAAAGACCATTAATATAAAAAGTTAAGGAGAGGTTTACAGATGGATAGGATCGACCTTGAATAGTTGACAGGAATCAGAAGAGAGGGTGAGGGAGCAAAATTTAATAAATAGATAAGTTAGGTGAGGGGAAAGGCAATATACAATCAGGATTTTATTAGATGTTTTGGTTAGTGACACTAATGTTGTTAAGTGCTGTTGAGTTGTAGGTGACTCACAGTGACCCTATGAATGAAAGACCTGAACACTTGTATAACTTTCATTGTTTCTCCAAGTTCATAGAGTTTCCGGAGGCAAGCTATTTCAGAATTGGATGCCACTTCTTCCAAGCTTGTTTTAATGAGGGAACTTCACCAAACACTGTCCACCATCGGTGATCATTATCACATTTGACACATCAGTGTCACAGTGTTCAGTTTCACAGCAACCACAAGTTACCTCTGTACAGCAAGTGAACAGATCAGGGCTATACGACCTAGAACACACTGGTCCTCAGCCTTCAGCCTACAGGTGTGGCCAAACATTTCAGTATTTTACTATTCTGGCACGCCCAAATGCTGGTGGACTCTGGGCCAGAGACCCCCAATTCATCTGACAAGTCCCCTCTGCTGACACCCACTTGGGATGAAAAAAAAAACCCATAAAATCCCCGAGCGTTTTATACGTGTCCCTTCTCAAGACGCAAGAGGCCATCCTAAAGTCCACACTCAGGGCTCCTATGGCTTTCTTTTCATCTCAAGTGAGTGTCAGTAGAGGGGACTTGCCAGATGAATTGACGGTCTCTGGCCCAAAGTCCACCAGCATCTGGGTGTGCTGGAATTATAAAATACTGAAATGTTTGGTCATGCCTATAGGCTGAGGGCTGAGGACTAGTGTGACACTAATACATTTTTATTTATGTTCTAAAACAAAACATCTATGAATGATTGAATTAGAATACTATATGATTTGTAAACTTTCACTAACATAAATCTTTTTAAAAATAAAAATGACATGTGAATGAAGGATAGTGTGAAATACAGTATATACAAACTTTGTAAATAAACCAATATAAAATAAACATTTTAAAAAAGAAAGAAAAATGAATACATAAAATCAGGTGTGTGTTGGGGTTGTATCCTTTTACCACACTTACACAATCCGTATGTTGTAAATATTCTGAGACACTGGACTGTAAGAATTAAGAGGCATAAAGACTGGAGGAAAACCTGTTAATAGCATGCAATAATATGCAGATGTCATAATCCTGCTTGCTGAAAATGAGGCTTTGAAGACCAGAGACTTAAGTTTGAATTATACCTTAGCATAAAGGAAACAGAAACCTTCAAACCTGGACCAGTAAACAACAGCATGATAAACAGAGAAAATAGTGGGTTGTCACGGATTTAATTTTCTTAGGATCCACATTCACTATGCATGGAAGTAGCTGTCCAGAAAGTGAGCAATATATTGTATTGGGCAAATCTGCCAAGGGCCACTTTAAAATGCCAAAGAACAAAGATGTCATTTTGAGGACAGCCTGACTCAAGCATTTTCAATTACCTCATGTGCATGTGAACATTGGACAAGAAATAAACTTATATGAGGATCAGAGGGGGGGGCAAGCAGAGGGGTGAGGATGTGGGGTAATCATTGGATCTCATAATTTGATGGGTGAAGGGAGGGGTGGGTTAAGGAAATGGAAAAGATCTGGTGTGAAAAATAATGTATACAAACTTTACAAGTAAACCAGAATAAAATAAGAATTTTATATTAAAAAGAAGGAAGACAGAAGAGTTTATGCCTATGAATTATGAATATTAAATATGCAGTGAACTTCCAAAAGAACAAACAAATCTATCTTGGGAGCAGTGCAACCAGAATGCACCTTAGGAGTTAGGCTACTGGGGCTTCATAATATACATTTTTGGGTATGCTATCAGGAGGCGTCTGTACCTGGAGAAAGACATCATGCTTGGTAAAGTAGAAAGTCAATAAAAAAGGAGGATTCTTGGATTGACACAATGACTGCAGCAGTGGGCTCAAAAGCCCTAGAAATTGTGAAGGTGGTGCAGGACCAGGGAAAGTTTTTGTTCTCTTGTACAAAGGGTGTCTATGAGGCAGAGATGGCTAGAAGGCACTGACCAACAACAAAATAAAACACAGAGAGGTGTATAAATTCTAAGACAACAGCACAATGAATTTTCACAGAGTGAGTGCACCTGTGTTACCCAGCTCAGCAAAACAAACCACCACCAGCAGCACCACCCTCCCTGGCTCCAGGCACGCCCTCTCCTGCTCATTGACCCTCCTCACTGAGGGTAAACACTTCTGAAATTTTTCTTACCAGTTTTCTGGAAATGTCTTCTTTATCCTTCTATTTTCATCACAGCAGTATTTAAAATATCATGGAGTCTGTTGCTCAAGTTAAAAATAGTCTGTCTTCTAGGAATAGAAGTGTTTGAGACAATGTCTTGTGTGTATGTATGTGTGTACATCTATGTGTGTATATATCTATATATATATGATAAATAGGTCAGAGTAGGAATATCTAGCTACTACAGCATCTAGCTACTTCATATTCTCTCTCCCACTAACAGTTGTTTGTTGTTATTGTTGTGTACTGTCGAGAACATAGTTCCATGTTGCGTATTGTTGGGAATACAGTTCCAACTATGGGAACTGCTTTTCAGAAGCAGTTAATCCAACAGGAGGAGATTGCCCATCCTTCTCCCATGGAGCAGCTGTTGGATTTGAACCACATGCATTTTGAATTGCAGCACGGCTTCTTACCCGAGGCAACCAACTCATATCTGGCTGCACAACTTTATAAACTTTCCTGGGTTCCTTAGTGAGTAGGGTGGAGGGTGGTGTGGACTACATGTCCCAGCAGGCTGTGCTCTGACAGCTCTCGGATTTAAATAGGATTCTGGGCTGTGCTTAAAGCCAGGCTGTTGCTGAGCGTCAGGGAGTGACAGAAGAAGCAGCTAAAAGCTGGAGCCAGAAACATAGTTGAGGTCAGAACTGAAGCAGCTGCAAAAGCAGCAGTAACCGAGGAAATTCAGAAGATGCTAATTACCTTGGGACTGCTTACCTCCGTACTTTCTTTCCTATACATGGCAGCTCCAGTTATCAGGTTTGTCTTAATTCAGCATCTTACAAACTATTTTCCATTGCCCTGAATTGGGAGCTAGAAGCTGAAAGAAAAGATAAGAAGTAAGTGGACGGAGAAAAGGGAAGGAAAAAGCAGGAAGGAAGCAGTAGTTATGGATACCCTGATAGAAAACTGAGAAGCAGACACCTGAGGTGGAGGGAGGAGGGACAAGTCTGAATTCTGATGCTAGTGGGAGGCTGGGTGACTGACTTAATGAAGGTGGTGGGAGTCCTTGGTCACACACTATTTCCCTGGGGTTATGAGGATCTTCCTTTGCTGTCGAGTGACCCTCCCAGGTTATCATCTTGGCCATTGCTGACTAGGGGAAAAGTCTACCCTCAGTTAATATTTTGGAATGGCTCTTTTATTGCAGGACTTCTGGAAGTGTCAAGGATAGCATGTTCCAAGTAGAGCATTTTAAAACTGTTAATAATAAAGAAGGTTAAATGGACATATTTAAAGCAAGATGTTGCTCTAGTCCTGGTATAGAAACTAAAATATAAATTCTGGCTCTGTCACTGTCAGTGACTTGAACTATCAGCTTCACTTTTCTCCATTATGCTATGGGGATATTAACAGAATGGCTGAGAGGATTGAAGCAATTGACCTATTTATGTAATAAAGTGCCTCTGGTCTGTCTGGTGCCTGGAAGTTAGAGGTTTCTCAGGATGGCTTAGTTCTCTCCCTATTCAGATCTCTTTTTGGTAACTTGTCAAGCCAGCCTTCTGGGAAACAGGTGCTCTGTGGTGAGGTTTGGTGGTTGCAGTGTGATGAAAGAAAGCCTCCGAAGACACCAGCTTTCTAAAACTGGAGAGGCATCTGATGGGGTCTCTGGAGAGCACTGCTCATTAATTACTCATTGATGAGGCTTAATGAAAACCTACAGCTCAGGTTTACAATGAACTACAGTTCATTGCAGATATGATTTGAAGGAAGGATAGAGGAAGAAGCCGACCTCAGGGAAACTCTAGAGATAAGAGTTAGATAGCTTTGCTATATAACAATCAAGGTCCCCGCTGCTTGTGGCTCAGTGAGTACCAATGATTTGGAACCGATTCATAGCTGACTCTCCAGTTGGATTTCAGAGGCAGTAATTGCACTGGAGGAGATGGTGCCATCTTTCTCCTGTAGGGTAGCTGGTGGAGTGGAACCATTGTGCCTTTTTTGGGCTGGCAGCACAACTCCTTGCCTCTAAGCCACCAGAGCCACTGGTGCTCTCAGGAACACCTACTCTGTCCAAATGATTATTTCTAGCTTCGGGACACGTGAGCTTCCAACTTGTGTTGATGCACGGAAGAGTGATTTTTGTCGGTTTGTTGTTAGGGATCCCCCCCCCAGTGATGATCCTCTTTGGGTCTCCTGACTACAAACGGGAAGCTCTGGTGGCCTGGTGGATAGGGAGTTGTGCTGCAAACCCAAAGGCAGGTGGTTCGAGTCCACTGTACAACTTCCTCCTGTGTGATTTAGTGTTTGCTACGAGTCAGTTCCAACTCAATGGCAATGAGCGAGGCAAAAAGTAAGTACAAATGAAAGGTTTGTGTATCTAAGTCTGAGGTTGGGAAGGATGGCACATGAATATTCCTTTTCTTTTGTCCGCAGGAAGTTCTTTGCTGGTGGGGTGTGTAAAACCACTGTGCAGCTTCCTGGGAAGGTGGTAGTGATCACAGGCGCAAATACAGGCATTGGCAAGGAGACGGCCAGAGAGCTCGCTCGAAGAGGCAAGTACTCCCTCGTTGATCACCATAGCCAGTCCTCCTGCCCTACTTCTGGGGGGCTTGGCTTCTCATGTCCTTGTCTTTCTTCCTGGGTGTGGAGGCTCTGGCCAGGAATTAAAAGAACTTGGCATTCAAGTTCAGCAACGACCCCAAATTCCTTTGTGACTTTAAAGAAATCTTCCTGCTCCTTTCCTGTCCTATAAAAGTAAGGAAAACAACTGTGTCCATGAATGGTTTTGTTGTTCTGTGCCTTATAGTCAGAGTGACCCATAGCTGACCCTCCAGTGGGTTTTCAGAGGCTCTGAATCACTCAGGAGGAGATTGCCCATCCTGGTGGATCTGAACCACATGCCTTTGGAATTGCAGTATGGCTTCTTACCACTAGACCACCAAAAGAGGATAACTAACTAAACATAAATAAAGCTGCATTCTGGCAGTGTGTATTAATGAGGCTTCCCAGAGTGATGCTAGTTGATAGCAATATGACCGGACAGTATGACTATGAGAATCCTGTGATGGCTTTGGGGAAAACCGCATTGGAGGGCTTTGGAGAGAATGCTCTTTCTGTCAGTCCCCAAGCTGCCTTAGTTCTTTCTCAGCCTAGGATCTCTCATTGTGCTTTGACCCCAGGAGCCAGAGTCTACATTGCCTGCAGAGATGTGCTGAAGGGGGAGTCTGCTGCCAGCGAAATCCGAGCAGATACGAAGAACTCCCAGGTGCTGGTGCGAAAACTGGACCTGTCAGACACCAGATCCATCCGAGCCTTTGCTGAGGGCTTTCTGGCAGGTGAGGGCTGGATTGGTAGCAAGAGAAGCAGGAAACTGGATGAGGGAGTGGCTGGTCCAACCGGGGACATCTCTGGCTCTTACATCAGAACCATTACTGATCCTACTGGGCAGGTTCTGCCACATGAACCTGCAGCACAGGGACTTGGCAGAGGGACAGCAGATGGACAAGCTGGGCAGGATCCTTATCTCCTCTTTACCTCAGCAATGGGATGGCTGGAGGTATCTGCTCCTGCCTAGGCTTGCACATTGGCATCAAGGTGTGGCCCTCTTGCCTCTCTTCTTTCATTCTGAGAATTAACCTTCTGTGACCATAGGTACCAGATGATATTGTACTGATGCCAGAACTGTGAATATCATGAGGAACAGGATCCTTCTCTGTCTTGTTATGCCACTGCATTTCTAGTGTTCCCTAGAGTGGGCCTGGCCCAGAGGTGTTAACCAATACACATTTGTTGAATAAATGAATGAATCGTGTTGAGGAAGATGTAAGTGACTAGAATTAGAGGCTCAACATTATTCCTTAGGACAAGGGCTGTTGAGTTTCACTGATTTGGGTCCAAATGGGGTGATCCAATCAAAACCCTCTCTCCTTGAGGTCAAGAACAAAGGCAAGGGGCAAAAATACATTGGACTGTGACAGGGTCCTTGCTAACAGAGTCCTTGCTAACCAACAGTTTCTTTGGTTGTGCTTTACAGAGGAAAAGCAGCTCCATATCCTGATCAATAATGCAGGCGTGATGATGTGTCCATATTCCCAGACAGCTGATGGCTTTGAGACTCACTTGGGAGTCAACCACCTGGGTAAATATCACTGACTGGCTGAAAATAGAGGCACACCTCACCTTTTTCTCTGCAGAAAGATGAAACTATCCTAGTGTTGAGAAGCCACAGTGAGTGATCCTCATAGAGCCCAGGATTCCATAGATAGAATTCATTAGATTTTACTTTATTGTCCTACTAACCAAACCACGAAAGCAAGATGCTTCTACTGATGCCATTAAGAAATCGGAAATCTCAAGTGATACCTGGAGAAGAATATTATACTTGAATGAAGCAGTGGCAAGGAAAAACTTGTCAGGCAGAACCAAGCTTGGAGGGTTCAGGAATCTGGGCTTGGAGGGCAGGGTCATGTTCACAGCTGAGGGCCTCAAGCAAGCCAAGGGTTGTTCCATGGATGCAGACATGCTGTGAGGAATTGGGAAATTTTTAAGCTATTAGACAGGCTGGATGGAGTTCAGAGTTAAAGGTGATGGCCATGGGGAGGGGAATATAGAGCATATTCTCTGATCCTAGGCAAATGTTATTTTCCCTTGACTTTTTTACCCTTCCATCTGTACATGAGGGCACCTGTCACTAGAGTTATGCAATCCTGGCCCAAAGCATCTGAAGCAAGCAGGTGTGCATCACTCCTGACTAGGGCAAGGGCAGAGGTACAAATGAGTAAAGATTAAATCAATATTGTCTAGCTTTGGCCCCTTACCTTGAAGAATCCACTAACTCTCAGTGACTAACAATTAGTATGAAGTTACTCATAGCAACACATTCATTAACATCAGATGATAGAAAGTTAATGCTGAAGTCCTACCATCAGCTACTACGCCCTGGACCTGGGCTGTCACTCCACCCTTCATTCTCTCCTTCTGATTGTCCTCACAGGCCACTTCCTTCTCACCTACCTGCTCCTGGAGCGGCTGAAGGGGTCTGCCCCTGCTCGGGTGGTGAACCTGTCATCTGTGGTCCACCACATTGGCAAGATTCACTTCCATGATCTCCATGGTGAGAAGTACTATAGCCGGATCTTTGCCTATTGCCACAGCAAATTAGCCAATGTGCTTTTTACTCGACAGCTGGCCAAGAAGCTCCAAGGTAAGTCAAAAGTCAAAGTAGCAAAAAGTCCTCAGGCTTGCCTAAAGATTCACAGACTTTTCTGAAGTCAAGAGAATGAGATTATAGAGTATAGATGGGATGAAAATAGAGTTCTTGACCCTTGTTGTTGTTGTTCTTGACCCTAGCAACTTTAAAATTGAATATAGGTAGGGAACTTCCTTACATTTATACTATATATTATTTAATATCTGTAGGTACCTTTGATTTTTTTCCACAATCTTTGGAACAAGTAAAATGACCATTAATATTCCTACTTTATAAGGAAGCACTAGGCCTAAAGTTACATGGCAAGTGAAGGAACCAGGCCTATAGAGGGGCAATTTTAAATTCAGGGTGCTTTCTTTTGCTTGCTTTTTGCTGAGGGTCCATGGTAAGCGGAACCACAGAGCTTACAAGGCTTTATGCATGACCCCTGGGTCCTAGTTTGCCACGTGTTAGCCACATGTGTGTATGTTGACAAGGTCCTTTACCCTCCCCTGACTTCATCTCCTCTGTTGTAAAATGACATGAGCTCAGCCCTTCATCCACTGACTCCATGTTCCTCTGGGGTTTTGAGTTTCTGACTCTGACATCTACAACTCTGGGGGGCTCATTTTTTACAGTGAATAAATCAAGAATTGGGGAACAATGGTCTTTCTTAGCAGAATGATGAGTGTAGAAGAACCATAAAAATGAATAATAACAGTATTTGAGGGCTGTGTATTTACCATGTTCTATATAAATTTTAATTCACTGAATACTCACAATATTCCTATGAGGTTGGTGCTATTATTTGCCCCACTTTACAAGTGAAGAGCCAGGTACAGAGAGAATAAGAAACTTGCCCAAGCGAGAGGCCTGACTGAGCCAAGATTAAGATGTAACAGTCTAGCTCCAGGGTTTCTTACTTTACATCCAGTTCAGACCTTGACCTTCCAGCGTACAAGGTATAACCTTGGGCAATATACGTAACTCATTTTATTAAATACTAATCAAACACACAGCTGGTAAGTTGATTCTGACTCATATCTGACCTTCCATTGAATTTCTGAAGCTATAAAGCTTTATATGGGAACCCTGGTGGTCTAGTTCTTAGAAAGTTGCTCTGTAAACTCAAAGACCACACTTCTCTGGCGTTTTGGATCTACTAGTCACTCTACAGAAGAAATATAGACATTCTCCTCCTGTTAAGATTTACAGCCTTGAAAACAAATAAAAAAGATTACAGACGAGCTCTGGTGGCCTAGTGGCAAGAAGCTGCACTGTAATCTCAGAGGTACATGGTTCAAACCCACCAGATTATCTGCTGGAGAAGGAGGAACAATCTCCTCCTGTATCAGTCAGATCTGATTTGATGGTACACACAAAAAAAGTAATGAAATAAAATAAAAATTTAAAAAAAAGATTTATAGCCTCTGAAACTCAGTGGTCAACTATGAGTTAGGAGAGGATATCTTTCTTCCATGATGGATACGAAATGCTGACCTGTGGGTTAGCAACACAATACATAGCCCACTATGCCACCAGGGCTCGTTAGATGTGTAAGAGGTAATGTATAGCATTGCCTATTTTAGAAACCTCTTTGAGGATTAAATGAGCTAATGCTGGGGAAATGTCTAACATAGTCCTTGAACATAGTATGTATTGGAAATAGTGGTAACCCCAGGAATACCAAACATCATGTCTTTGGAAGACATGCAACCATTATAATCCCCACCGGTGTTCCTCATTCTGATTTCATAAAATTTGCTTGCCAAGCAAATGTGAGCTCTGGTGGCCTAGTGGCAAGAAGCTGTGCTACAATCCCAAAGGTAAGCAATTTGAGGCCACCAGCTGCTCCGCAGGAGAGAGATGGACAATCTGGTCCTGAGCAATTAAGAGGGTCAACTCTGGGTCAGTTCCAACTCTATGGTAAATAACAACAACAACAACAACAACAACAGGCAAATGTAGTTCAAAACAGGTCCTAGTTCCTCCCATCCCAACAGAAGGGAGGAACTAGGAATTTGAACCCCTTTTATATTTCAAAGATACCATTGTTCATATGTGAAAGTGCCCTGGTAGCTTAGTGCATTAGGTGTTAGGCTGCCAAGTAAAAGGTTGGTGGGTCAATTCCACAGGTGCTCCGTGAAAGAAAGCTTTTTCTGCCTTGGTTCAGGTACTGGTGTGAGTCTGCAAGGCTAGGAGTGGGTCCTTCAGAACGTTGGGGGCACCACTCACGTCCAGAGCCCCTTCTTCTCACGTGGCTGTTGAGCGGCCAGGGACATTGTGTTCCTGGGTGTGGAGTGTGCTTCTGATCTAACTGTGTTCTCTTTGCCCTAGGCACCGGAGTCACCACTTTTGCAGTGCACCCGGGCGTCGTCCGCTCAGAGCTGGTCCGGCATTCATTCCTCCTGTGTCTGCTCTGGAGGCTCTTCTCCCCATTCGTCAAGACAGCGCGCGAGGGTGCGCAGACCAGCCTGCACTGTGCGCTGGCTGAGGGCTTGGAACCCCTGAGTGGCAAGTACTTCAGGTGCGTGGGAAGCAGCACGGTTCTTTCCTGCCCAGGTCTTCCTGGTTTTTGCACTCCGGTGGTAGAATTTGTGTCTTCTGGTAAAAGTTGTACTTAAAAACCAAATGTTGTAATTCCCCTGAAGGCAAATTAGAAACTTGGGAAAAGTTGATCTATGGCTTTACTTTATATGTGCTTTCCATATGTTCATGCAAATTCTCTGACTTTCTTCAAGCTCTTGTAGAAGTCTGTCCCTGTTGGCTATACCTTGAAAGGCCTTCTGGATTCTATTTCTCCTCCTTGAAGCTTCTGGCTGACTTCTTTAATGAGTTCTTTAATACCACTTAACACAAGTTGCACCAGGGCAAGGTTGGCTCTACTAACTGTGAACTTTTCCCCTCCCAACATTGCCACAATTGGCACTATCCATTGGATAGAAATTTCAGCGTTAAATTCTACAATGAACTCGGTGGGCGGTCAGAATTTGGGAAGAGAAAGTAGCCCAGGATTAAGCTTCAGGTCTTTTGTTCATAGGGTTGTTATGAGTCATGCTTGACTCAACGGCAATCAACAACAACCACAACAACTTTATTGTATGGCTTGACCCCACTTTGTTCAGAGTTGTTCATTTATGCATCATTTATTAATGAAGCAGGTTGTTGGGGTGTACCGTAGAGTTGGAACCGATTCATAGCTGACCTTCTGGTGGGTTTTCAGAGGCAGCTAATCACACAGGAGGAGACTGCTCATCCTTCTCCTGTGGAGCAGTTGGTGGATTAGAACCACATGTTTTACACAGGAATGTAAGAATCAACTTAAGGGCCCAGCAATAGGGAAGTTGATAATCTAAGATTGCTTGAGTTTTTACAGTATATTTGGTATTCTTCTGAGTGTCTTGTTATTGTTGTTAGGTGTTGTCCTGTAGGAACAGACTCATAGCTGACTCTCCAGTGGGTTTTCAGTGGCAGTATATTTCCTTTGATCTAAGGAGCTCCCTGGCTGTACTTCCTCTAAGCTATAGCTATTCATTCTTCTGGAAGTTATAGGATATCAAGTACTTTTCTTCAACACCACAATTCAAAGGCATTGAATCATCCTCAGTCATTGTCTAACTTCCAGCCACATATAAATAATTAAAACACTTGGATCAAACATGTCTTAGCCTTTAAACTGACACCTCAACTCTTTAGTACTTTGGAGAAGTCCTTGACAGTATGTTTGTCCAGTGAAACCTATTTTTTTTTTATTTCTTGACTGATTTTACTATGGATATTGATTACAAATCCAAGTAAAATGTTGACGCAATGCATCAATCTTTTCTCCATCTTTTACAATGTTGTCTATTGATACAATGGTGAAGATTTTTGGGTTTTTAAAAAATGTTGAGATATAATCCATATTGAAGACAGTAGTGCTTGACATTGAGCACTGTTTCAATGAAGCAAGTTTGTGTCATCTGCATAATGCAGGCTCTTGATGAACTTTCCTCCAATCCCGAGGCCACCTTCCTCTTCATATAGTCCACCTTCTCAAATGATTTTCCCAGAACTCAGAATAAATAGCCATGGAGAAAAGACACTCCGCTGACACATACCTTAACTGATTTTACATCATGCTGCATTCCTTTGCTCTGTTTGAATTAACAGTTCTCTTGAACTATGTGGAGATTTCACTTTTTCTTCATAGTGATTTAATTTTTAATATAGTACATAAATGAGATGGATTGATTCAGTGACTGGGGTAATCGGGATGGGTGTGTCAGAGGCAATGAGATTGGCACAGGATAGAGCAGGGTTTAGG